AAGGAAGGAAGGAAGGAAGGAAGGAAGGAAGGAAGAAAGAAAGAATCCAACACAATACTATTAAAAATCAGTCATATTAAAGTAAAAGTTTTAAATAAAATATTAAAAGGGTTCTCTGTCAGTTAGAAAAATGAATTGCAGTGAAGATATTTTTGTCATGCTTTGCAACTCATCTGCAGCAGCTCTTACAACGAGCAGCTTATTCATTGGTTATTGCCTGATATCTCAATACCTATCTTTTTTCATGCATTGGATGGGCTTTACTTCAGTCTTGCTTTCTTGGGGCTTGGCTCGCTGACTTCCCAATCTATACAGGGCTGATCAAACAAAACAAAAATCTAACATCAAGAACCTGCTACTCTTCTTAGTTCCGCAAAGTCTCGGAATACAATTGCGGAGTCCGTGTTTTGAATTAGCTAAATAGGCCCTGTATCAAGCTGAAGATAGCGAGTGGTTTTCACGGCTAAGTAGGTCGCATCCGTGTTAGTTTTAGCTTTCAATACTCAGCAGTGATAGAGAGAGACACTGAGATGGAGACAAACTGCGCACCACACGGCTATAGTACACTCGCCTTTCACCTTTCACCTCTGGGTTCTTGTGTTTAATTCCTAGACTCGGCACCATATGTGAGATCAAGGGTTTTTCTCCGGGTTCTCCGCTTTTTCTCCCTCCGTATTCCCTGCTAGCAGAGCCTATTTTCCTTTTGTTTTGGTGGTGAGAAAATCGACTCTGCTGATGTAGGACGTTATACTTGTCGCGGCTGCGTGGCGTAACTTAGCAACGCAGTCATGATTTTGACAGCCGCTCTTGGCGCCACGGTGTGTTACATTTGCTCATGCGCACTACATATACTTGGTTAAAAACCGGTTTTAAAACTAGTTTCGTTGGTGTATCAAAGGAAACGCTCTACATCGGCAGAGTCTCCCTCCTCCCCGCCTAAAAGAAGGGAGAGAAAGAGCAGAGAACCCTCCAAAAAACTCAACACACTAAATTCAACTTCGATCTGTAAGTTGGCATTGCTTTAGACCAGCCCAGAGGTTATTTCAGGATTCACGAGTGTATTAACGTACCTTGGGAGAGAGCAGAGTAAACTGAAGAAAAGAATTGTGCGTCACCGTCTTCTCCACCTTGATCTCCAGGGTTACTTTATCAAACATACTGAACTTTACATTCCCTACAGTAAGGGAAGGTTCCTAGAGGGAAAATGAAGAAAAAAACCATTAGCTACTTTGATACACATCTAGATATCTTTGCTTTCTTGCTAGTCTTCCATTGTACGTTACGTCATCACGACCTCTCGGGGGAGCGTTGGTGCCATTTACAAAAGATTCCTCTTTAGCATCCATTGTAAACGGCACCAAAATGGCCGACATGTTTTTGTCTTGTGACTCTGTTCGGAATGCTTGCAACCCCACAAGCAACTCCTGTTCCTTGCAGACGGTACTTTAGGTCAGGTCCACACTTATGGACTTTAGTTTGAACTGAATCAGTCGCATACTCTTCGATGCGTGGTGGCTTTGCGTAACCCCACTCCACTCCACTCCACTCCACTCCACTCCACTCCACTCCACTCCACTCCACTCCCACTAAAACGATCGGAAACGCATGCATTTGGCAAAAACGCTCTCCAGAGTGGAGACAATATTGAAGCGAAGCTTTCGATGCGTTTTCGGTCAAACGAAAACTCGAAGCGTTTCGAAAACGACCTGTACACTGAGACCTGTACCTAGTTTTCCTGTACCTATCTATGTGGCCTTCGTTTCATACCTCTTCATTAAACACCATATGGCTGTCTGTAATCCCGTGTCTATTCATATACACTGTTCCTTGTAGGCCAAACTTTGGGATGAGGACTTGTAAGGCGTTTTTACGAATAAACATTACAAATGCGTCTTCAGTCTTCGGGTTGTCTTTGAAAAACAACTGAAATAAAAATAAATAAAAAAACTCGTTTAGACTTTTTTGACATTCATACAGAGCTATATCACAGGGAACCCAATTTAGATAAAAGTAAAACACAAAAAGAAAATTACAAAAACATGTCTTGTTCTGTATTTAGTGTACCCGAGGTCAAGAAAGTATCATAAATAAATAAATAATACAAGAAAATAGGAAAATCAACCAAAGAATACCATACGATATTTCATTTGAGCACATTTGTTTTCAAACATGTGGCGTCCCAAAAAAGCGCGYGAAAAATATGTATTTTGATTTTCGTCTACCATTTTCATCTCAATTGGGCTTCCTTTGGTTACGTAATATCAACAGACTCACCTGTGTATGAAGATCCACAGAGCCACGCCCTGCGTATTGAGCCATCTTGTGTCGGAAGTTGAGATGGTTACATTGTTTCTGTACAGAAATGAAGGAATTTTTTTGAGGACTCCATACGATAACAAAAAATATTATCATCCTCAGACGTACCTGAACTTTTTCCTTATGCAGCAAATCGGGGTAAGACTTCATGGCTCCGATTGCAACAGCTAAAAGACGATGGACCAAGACATCAGAATATCTAAAGCATCACAAAATGAATGATCAACGACAAGCTGCTGTCATTAGACGTCATTTCCTGTCTCGTGWGGAATTTTTACCATCTGAATGGCACGTTTTCGAAAAAAATCTGTAACCTGGATGATGGAGGGTAGTGTTTGGCCTTCACTGAAGGCTGATGAGATTCATGAGATTCATTCAGCTGATTGATACCAAACAGCAGTGTTTGCCTGTCATTATAACCTGGTAATGAGATTCGTGAGATTTACTCAGCTGATTGATACCAAGTCGCGAATAATCTCTGGCTGATAGCACATGACGGGCAGTATTTGCCTGTTATCGTATGCTGGTAATGAGATTCATTTACTGGTTGATACCAATCAATAGAATTGCTCTCTGGTTGAAAGCAGTGTTTACCCTTCAATGAGGGCTGATAATGAGATTCATCCAGCTGATTAAGTAATAGAATATTCTCTAGCTGATAGCACATGACGGGCAGTTTTGCCTGCCATAAAGTAGGCTGATTGTGAGATTCATGAGATTCAATCCGCTGATTGATACCAAGTAATAGAATACAGCATGGTATAGAACAAGGTATTTACAGATCAAGTACAATGAGTATTGAGATTCCTTACCGTCTGATAGGTGACGTGAAGTGAGTATAAATAGGTGTAGCTAGACCATAATGGTGATACTGATCCTCAGGGAGCATGCCCGAACAAAAGTACACCGCTTCCATCATGCATCGTGTTGTCAGGATACGTAGCATGGTATTGAAGTAGGGCTCATCTTCGATAACCGCGGCGTCCAAGGAGACGGCCAAGTCTTTTGCTGTGTCTACTTTGATTTCCAGACCCTATCAAGAAGAAAAAGAAAACTTCAACCTCTCTTCACCCTTGCTCTCACACTTTGTCATGGTGGTAAAGCTAAGGAGCTGTCCATGACTCATAGAAGACTATCCGCTGGGATCTTGGTCCCAGGTAGGTGCGAAACGGTCGAAAAGACGTGGCCCAGAGAGGGGCAATGCCTTGGACCTTTGGATTAGTCATTGGGTTTAGCGCTAATTCCACGACTACAAATGAAATCCCATAGCTGATGCAATTTAACAACCAACGTGTCTTAACGCACTTGCTTTTGAAATCCTAATTTTTAAAATAAACCAATCACACTTAGAGTACAGTATTTGTGACCAATTAAAACGCTAGAAAAAAGTCACCATTTGGATCTCATCACGGCACGAAATAGTCTCCTTTGCAGCTGTTCTTAGCACCGGTCCGAAAATCCTTTCCCACTATCGTCTGCTCAATGGAGCACTACATTCCTTTCCCATTGTTCTGTCGATAATCTTTTAGCCAATAATATGGGAAAGGAATTTAGTGCTCGATTGAGCAGACGTAAGTGGGGAGGGAAGAGTTTGGACCGACGCTAAGAACGGCTGCAAAGGAGACTAGGCACGGAAAGGCAAATCCAAAATGTGAATTTTTTTTACCAAATAATAAATTCGCGCAAGAGAATATAAGATGTACCTTGGAGCGTGCTGCCTTCACTAGGATGTCATAGTTGGAGAGCGGAGGGGAAGGATGTCTTCTGAGAACAGCAAACTCAGGAAAACGTTGATGTATCTTCTTTGCAACGGAAATGTTAGCCAACAGCATGAACTCTTCCACCAAGGAGTTTGTATCTCTAGGAATGCAACAAACTGCCTTTATTTCAGCGTTCCACGAAATAATGCTATTGCTGGTTTTCAACACGGCGGCCATGTTGGAGGATATAACAAAAGAGACTAATGTGACGAATCTTTTGTTAAATTCATCCAACATGGCGGCAGTGAAAACCATCAATTTCAAACAAGGAACACAGGCCCTAGCCCGTTAGGATCTGGGATCGATACTAATAAAGGCTGCGAAGGAGACCAAACTGACTTCTGCGAACGATTGAACTAAATTATAGCGAATCGTCGTCGCGGCGAAGTATATCAGTTTAGTGGACGCCATTCAAGGCGTCTCCATGACATTCCATACGCGCGTGCACTTGAAAACTTTGAGTATTCCAACAATGTCAATGTTTTCTATTGTCTTTTTACTTGTACACTCATTAGTACATTTTGTTTCACGGGTTATTGAAAACCACTCTAAATACGGTCATCTAAAAAAAGATTCTCTTAAATATGCGTTCAAGCATAAATAAAATAAAAAATAAATACGATCAGGACACCCCTAAATATGCTCAAAGTATGGTTGGTCATTTGAAAAAAGATACTCTTAAATATGGAAATTTGAAAAAAAGAATACTCTTAAATATGGTCATGTTTATCAATGAATGAAAACTACCTGAGTTGCTTCGTTTCTACATCAATTGGGTCATGTGTTTCACTGTCGATATGGAAGCGTACTTCAGTAGAAGCAAGAGTTAAAGCCCTGCAAAAACAAAGACAATCATAAATGACTATAGAAACTGCTCAAACATGTAAGCTAGTATACTAGTTGAATCCACAAGAAGAAGAAAAGAGGGTGGCGAGAAAAGAATGCACAGAAGGAAAAAAAGTGATAATTTTGATGGTGATGATCATGACCCTGTATGGACCCGTGAACATGACACCACATKATCTCCCCCTCCCTCCTCTACCAAGATTGACTTCCTCTCTGCATTACTGAAAAGAGTCTGCTATACTTATCAGGAAAAAGATGGTTTTGTTACTGTAGACGTACATAACAGGTTACGCTAAATCTGTAAACGTTGAAAGGTCCTATTTACCCATTTTCTATACGTCCTCTCTTCAAGATCTTGGCCAACTGGTTTAGATGTCTAAGACTAATGGTGATGTCATCATTCTGTGTGGAATCATCGATACGAAGCTGAGCCTCAGCGTAAGTTAAGGATGCCTAGTAATAACAAGAATAATGTTCGAAGTTTATATTAGATGTAAAAACGTGGGAGTGTGATCGATATTTGGGAACTAAAAAGTCTCTAATCCTTACTTTAAAACTCATTAATAATTCATGAAGGAAACACAATAGAAATCATGACCATGAAGGAGGTTTTATATCTGATATAGATTCGTCTTCATTTGCATAAACTCTATCAAATTTCATTTCGTAAAGAATTCGGTACAATATGAGAACATACATCATGAGTTTTTTAAGCCGCTAAATAAACTCATAGATCATATTTTATGTAATGTTTAATAAACGAGCAGGAGTGTTTTATCGGGTATAAAACACGAGGCGCAGCCGAGTGGTTTTAGACCCGATAAAACACGATCTGCGAGATTATTGAACGGCTTAGAAAACGTATGATGTTTGTTCTCATTGTGTACCGATTTTTTTACGAAATGAACCAAGTTTGATAGAGAAAATCCAAGTTAAAGTTTATGCAAATGAAGACGAATCTTTATCAGATATAAAATCACCTTCATGGTCATGATTTCTATTGTGTTTTCTTCATGAATTATTAATGAGTTTTCTAACGGATCTAAAGCCACTCAGCTGCAGCTCATGTTTTATTATTATTTATTAAACAGCACGTAGTGTACTGAATATGTACTGTATGTGAAATTGAAAAACAACAAAATATCAAGGTCTATCAACATGTACTAACCTTTGAACAAATGACACTCTTTGTAAACTTTGTTTGGATGATTTCTGCATTTGGTGTGAGCTCCCAGATACACGAGAAAGCAAGTCTGGTTACAAACAGAATRAAAAAAATAATAGTTAATCAAGCCATCCAAGTACAACTAAACCCTCAAATCTTTTTATCAACATCCTGTAACAGGCTCTGAGCCAATCTAAGTTAGGGCACGGCTAATTCACAGATTGAACCCTGCAATAACCTCTGGGCTGACTAAGTCAGGGCATTGCTTACTCACAGATTGAACCCTGCAACAACCTCTGGGCTGATCTAAGTCAGGGCATGGCTTACTCACAGATTGAACCCTGCAACAACCTCTGGGCTGATTCAAGTCAGGGCATTGCTTACTCACTGATCAAACCCTGAAACAACTGATCTATAAGACAGGGCACAGTTACTTAACTTACTGTACATTTCAAATTAAAATTTAGCTCGTTAGGTTTTTGCGAAAGGAGGAAATCTAGAGAAAATCCTCTAATCAAGAAAAAGACCTCACAAACTCTACTTACATGTGGAGCAAAGTCAAGCAATCAAATCTAAGATCCCAGAAATTAGAGGAAAGTGCATTACTGTATTTAACACTACATCACCTTTGTTCTACATACACAACTTAATATAATTATTATCAAGACCTGCTATCATATATTTTATATACCTGTCAACGTTCGAGYGAAGGGAACAAAGGTTAGAACTCAGGAGAGTAGGAACCATGTCTATACGCTGAAAGAAAGAAACAAAACCAGAAACTAAGAAAGTCCTACTATCAATGTGTGGCCATATCATCCTGTGTCTCATTTACATATTTTGACCAAATTTATTTTTGACCYTTTCATTTGCAATAACTCAATAATTTGTTATCATTGCTCCAGTGTACGGTCTATTTTGATTGTTGATAAGACCACACAAACAGTTGACATAAACAGATAAACATCTGGGCCTGGCTGTACGAAGGGTGAATAGTGCTATCGGAATGATAAATTTTATCCAATGGATAAATTTATTGGATAACAGCATTGACTTATCCACTGGATAGTGCTACCCCACCCTTCAAAGAACCGGGCCATAACCAGAAGCAAGGATGTTCAACTGAGTCACCTGATCTGTAAGGTACACAGTGGTTCCTCGATTAGCAGCCTCGTCATCCATTGCTGTGCCAGGATGGATGAAGTGGGTCACATCTGCTATGTGAACACCAACCTGGAATGACAAACGTACCAAATCAGGCCTCCTTCTCATTTCTCTCTCAAACCATCTGCCTCACAAAAACCCCCTACCTACAAAAGGCTTAGTCGATATTTTCAAAAAGAAATCTTGGATGCAAGGTTAACAAGAAAGTACCAAAGAAACAATTTGAAGGGATCTAGGAGTTTATCGTGCAAACTGCCTATTAGGGAGCTGGAATCTCATATAAATGATATTAATAAAAATATCTGAAGAAAAATCTTCAAACCTCAACTGTTGACCTTGGATATCAATAAAGGTCACCCAGCTCATTTGGAGAGGTTTCATACCGAGAAGGTTACCTCATAATTTCCGTTGTCAAGTTTTTTCCAGTGCAGCGCATCATCAATGTCAGTACATCCAGSGGGGTCTACACTGCAAATTGACAGGTCTCGCAGATCCAAGCGTGTGTCTAAATCCTGTTGAAAACACATGTACATATGTAAGCAGTAATAATGGATACGTACTGTAAACACACTAAAATTGAAGATTTAATTCAAACAAGATGAGGAAATTCCAAGGAAATTCCAATTTGAAATTTGACTGGTGATTAGTGGAAACTGTCTAACCTCCTGTGTGATTGCCCAAGGCATAGATGGCAAGTCTTTCTGGACAGCTGCAGAGAATGCCAGGTGTGGTACATCATGCTCCAGTAGTAGAAGCTCATTTTCTGTGTCCTTGTCACCAATATCACCCAGCTTAYGAACAAAATGACCCTAGAAATATTGAAGGAACGCAATGATGATGAAGCCAGTGAGTAAAGGAATGAACCAAAATAAAACAATACTGGTGGGTCCAAAAGGAGGAGTTTTTTAAAGGGTTGGATGGGTTGAGGACTGATGGGGTAGGATGGGATGGGGTAGGGTAGGGTAGGGTAGGGTAGTGTGTATGGTGGGGTCATGTAGAGTATGGTAAGGTAAGGCAGAGTAAGTGATGGTAGCATAGGGTAAGGCAGGGTAGTGTAGGGTAGGGTGTAGGGTGTAGGATGACGTGTGAAGGGTGTAGAGCAGGGCAGGGTAGCAGAGAGTAGGGGAGGGAAGGTGGTTAGCAAACATGCAAAGCCTATGACGTACTAGTTTACCTGAGGGTATCGAGAGGTTCTAGGCCACGAGTCAATGCTGACCACAATTCGCTGGGTTGTCAATGTTTCTGCTTGCCTGGTCACAATCTTGATCCTTGGTATTCTACGTTCAGCTGCGATAAACAGGTGATGGGAACTCTGTGTATAGACAAGTAAAAAGTTATGGTTTAATTCAAAGTTTCTTCTTAGATTTCCTACTATGAAACTTGCCATGAAAAAGGCACAATRCACAACAGTATTAAAGCCACAATTGCCACAGGGCATACAGCACCAACCCTAAATTGAGCAAGTGTATTGGACATGACGACGCAAATAACACTCACAAGCAAAGCTGCTCTCAGCACTTCACATACCCATGACACATCAAACCTAACTTTTTACTAAAAAAATGTAAAAATGTATGAAATMTTTTGGGCAACTGTGTAAAGCATGGACAGTACCTGAGGATTCCCTGATGGGCTGATGACCCCACAATATGGCCTCCAGTTACGCTTGATAATACCTACAACCTGAAAGGTACAGCAGTGTCATGTGCATTGATAAAAATAAAATGAAAAGAAAGAAAATTAAGAGAAGTTCCATACCTTTCCCGTTTTCTTGAAGTTTGATATTTCTTTTTTGTTATTATTAATCTACAGAAAGTAAAAATGTGTAATTTTGTTTGCTGCATTGAAAGAGGGAAAGAAAGGAAGGGAAAAGGGGGGGGGGCGGATAATTATTAAGAGGAAGGAAGAAATCTGGAAAAATTCAATCCAACTCATCACTATAGACTGGACCATAACAAAGACTAAAAAAGTACTATACATATGCTATAAAAAAGGATATACACAGCTGAAAACTGACCTTGATATTGTCTATGTTTTCCTCAGCCCCATCTTGAGACACATCCTCCAGCACAACAGATGATGGACATTTCCAGTGATCTTTAGGCAATATTTCTATGGCAACTACATCACCATGGACTGCACGATTCAAGTTCTCTAACCCTTGGATAAATATCTTCAAGAGAAATAAAAAATGATTGAATGAATAAATGAACAAACGAAAGAAWGAACAAACAAATGAACAAACATATAAACAAACGAATGAACAAACAAATAAATGGAATAAATAAACGAATTTATGAATGMATAAWTGAACGAACGAACTAATGAATGAATGAATGGATGGATGGATGAATGGATGAGTGAATGAATGAATGAGTGAATGAATGAATGAATGAACTAACAGATGAATGAATGAACGAACGCATAAATGAATGAATCAAGGAATGAATGGATAAATGGAATGGAATGGAAATATAAATGGATGGATGGATTAATGTGAGTGAGGGAAGGTATGAAATAAAAGAAGGAATGCATRAATGAAAAAATGAATGAAAACAAGAATGAGAGATGGATAAATGGATGGAATTGAATGATGAAAAGGATGGATCAATAACTTAATGAATAAGCAAGTGAATAATTGAATGAAGGAATAAATGAGTGAAATTGCACGTGACATTACCTCATCTTCACTATCTCTGACGTACACAACAGCCTCTAGATAATTCTCTCTTAAATCAAACAAACATCAAAATTAATGGTTTGAACCCAAACCCCAACCTGAGACCTCAGAGGTCAGCACACTACCACTACAATACCCTAAATACTCGAATAATGTACATCTATCAAATGCATGATGCTATTTATGTCAACCTCACCTGCTTCCATGAAGTACTCCCTAAAGCAATGTCAAAAAGATACAAATTAAGTAACAAGTGAAAAGGATGCCCAGTTTATCTGGCTATATTTACGTAGAGTGGGTGTGTGTGGGTCACATTAATAAATACAGCAGCGCRAAGTGCAAAAGTATGACCGGCGATTTGCATACTTTTATGCTAGGGATTTTGTATTTTAAACCGGCAAATTTCAATGTAAAGCTGGCAGGTCTCGATAAATAAGTTGTGTAAAATATCTCATTTTGCAAGTATGCAAATACATTACTAGTAAATGTGCTTAACCGCTGTCCTTTTGCTCAATAAGCTGTAGAGATGTACAAAATGTGACCCTAAAATCAGCATAGGTAGGGTGTTGTAAGAGTATTGGYATAACTGTGCAATATCAAACTGTCCTCTTGGAGTATATACTGTACATGTAGCTGACTGGTGATCCAGTTTACCTGTTTATATTTTCCAGACTTTATTCCTGCCTGGATTTTTGTCAAAGGWAGATGCTCTGAAAATATAAACTGGYTTCTTTTCCCATCTGTGGACTTTACAAACAATTTTATAATCAATATGCATTTGTTAATTACTAGAATGAAATACACCTGAGTGGGTATTATTTCAACTGTAATAGTTCTAACGATTGMGTAAAATCTTTTATCAAAAAAATAATTCATTAAACAGAGATTAAATGCATATTGTAATTGGCGTTTAGACATGATATTAGATGTAGGAGTTCATATAACATGCGTATACCTGTATATAGCCTTCATCTGATGAAAGCTATCACTAGTTATATATAGCTGAAACGTCATGTTTTTATCAAATCTTCTAATGGTATCCTAAATCCAATATTTAAACTCTACAATATTGTTCAGTTACCTCTTCATGATCTTCATGTTCAAGATTAGCCAACCGATCCACCAGATCACCACAGCCATCTAAACTGCTAACATACTCCTTAACTAAAAACAAAACAATAGCATTTATTATGGATGAATGCAAATGAGTGCGTGCTGTGTACTCTAATAAAGCACGTACTCCCAACCAATCAGAATACAAGAGTTATAACAGTTGATTTATAACTTACTTTTAAATGCCTTGATTCCTTCTTTGATTGCTTTCTCTTTATTTGCTCTATCATTGGTAATCAATACTATTTGTATTCTGAGGTCTTCATCTTTACCACCTTCACACTCTGTCAAGTGATCATTATACCAGCTAAGAAGAAAAAAAATAGAAAAAATAAATAGAAAAAGATGTAATAATAGCAACACCTTATCCCACAGATAAATTTATTAGATAACAAAAATCATCTTATACGCTGGATAAGGATTTATCTGTCGGATAGCTCTATCCACCCTTCGTACAACTCTCTCGATCACCACTCTTCAACATCACTAACAAATATTGGAGGGATGTACAGTAAATAAATTTAAAGTATCTTTAATTATATRCACATTAAAGAGATACAAAGGGTATAAATCACCTATTTAAATACACTTGCATGCTATAAGGGTGCATGATAGGCAATCTTTATTCATACTTAATAATACATGTACATATTCACCTTGCTGCTGTTCGTATAGCTCTATCATTCCTGTCATTACTTGATTCATCTTTTGCTCTCTCAACATATGTTTGTCTAAAATTACACAATTTAAATAAGAGTTATCAATGATAAAGAGATATATGACAAACATAAAGTGCACCAAATGAAAAAGAAAAAAAATTAATACTATGAAAGTCAGCGAATGGCACATCAAAYTACGATAACTTTGGTAGTAATATCAAATTTTTATCAGCATACATATATGCATATAGTACGTACCTGTGGTGTTCATTTGAGAAGACATAAAATTTTCGTTCTGGATCTGATATGATAGCCCTAACTCTCTTATATACTCCAAGGTTGAGATTCTTAACCTGAAATATAAAGGCAGTTTAATTTCATGATGCCAGCTCTTCAGATTTTAATGAAGTAAACTAGCTTGAGCTGTATCAGTGAATGAAGTGATGGAAACAATATGAGTAAATTGAGCATCGTGTAAATACAGGTATACTTATATTAACTGATGTTTCAGACATTATTTAGGCAAGTCTTTTTCTACTCTAACAAAGGACTAATTCCTAAAGGGTCAGTAACCACTGTTTTCATTGCAACAGTCACAACAGGAAAATCAGGCAATAAACTGCCATCAAGCAGAGTATATAAATATACCAAACTATTTATTTGATTGACGGCAGTGTATTACCGGATTTCCCTGTTGTGACTGTTATCTCAATCAGCCCATAGCAATGAAAACAAGCAAATATGTATACTGCCCTTGTGTACATATACCATTAATTTTTTTATACACTGTTAAATGTACCATTCTGGCCAATTTGGCTCAAAATTGATGATTAACGTCATGAGAAGTTGTATRCTATACCTCTTCAAGAACTGTTTGTAGCAAAATTACATTTTTAAAGACTGGATCTTCTAGGACATCGATCTAGTGAATAAAAATATTCAAATTGTTTTGCATTATGATGGTGATATAATTATGTTCTTTCGTATCTATTTGACGATATTATTGCTCTTAAAATTTCTTATTCTAAGGTCTCCAGATAAGAGATCTTAAATAAAATAACTATGGTCTATAAAAGTATGGCCTCTAAAATACCAATGAATACCAAACCTTTTACTAGTATTTAGAAAATCAAATTTAAAGTTTGATTACACATTAATAAGTAGTTAATTTGTTTCATTGGCTAAGTAAAATCCCTCCAATGCAAGAGTGGGCTATCCTATACTCTTACCTGATGTAAAACTACATTTGTATCGGGTATAATGTAATGAGGATAATCACAGAGCTGAGAAGACAAGGACTGGGGTACACTTCCCAAAACATTGTTCTGACTTTCTCCACAATTTGTACAGTGACTTGCACCGCACCAAACGTCGTCTCGCAAGTAATGTTCACGGACAACTTTTAGTACATTACCCTTTCGAGTTTTCTTTACATATGTTTTGGATTTGAGCATTTTATGACGAGAATTTTAACAAACACTTCTGGGAAGGCACTTCTGCACGTGTAACTAGGCCGCCATATTGGACTYATTTGGAACACCGCTGACAACGTTGGAACAAATGAGGGTTATCTGGATCCCTGTGTAAATCTTGGGAGTTATGTTTCCCATTTTAGACCATGTGGCACTCACTCCCATGAAAATAAGATTCTTTATTTGAGTATTATCCCAGCGAAGGCGGAACCGAAAATTTTGATACATTTTCACTAAACTTAGCCCCCCCACCTTGCCTTACAATGTCACTATCGAGCCCCCCCAGTCAAAAAACTGCTCCGCCGTCCCTGCATCCATATCTATATTTCTTTTCGTGCACAACTGTTAAACAAAGAAATGAAACCTTATGGAACAACACGTGATTGGCATATCTGAAATTATGGAAAAACCTCGTTACGCCCAAGATAGAGGCCTGTGGTATGGACAAACAAATATGACTATAAATGCGATACAAGTGTGTTTATTGCGAATACCAGTACTTTACAGATGATCTTGAAGATCAAATGGTTGAGCCACGTCTACGAATTATGTAATTACTGCGATTTTAAATATTCTGCCATCTCGGTAGTTACTTGGCTGCACGCTGGTGAAACTTGGTTTTCGCTGCCGTCAATCAAAAATAATCAGTCGGTACCTTTTATGTTCTTCACTGAAAAATCAATTTCACAGCCGATGAAATGTCTCTARATCGCAGAATATGGAAAACCGTATGGTATAAACCCTACTAATATAAATAATTATAATATTTATTACAGTCTTCAATATACCAAAGCTATGTAAGCTATGATTTTGTATTGCACTCTCTGAATAAACCCATAATGTCCGAAACACAGCTCGGARCACGGCGCGGACACGGTCACGCCAATGTCACGGCACTGTCCGAAAAATCACATTGCGCGAGAAAAAATCCCCAAATTAAAATTCTAGAAAACATCACGGTCGCGGCAAGGCACGCATACGGCACCGACTTTTTTTACAGTCATACGAAAACTGCTCTATTCTATGCCTGCGCGCTTTATGACTGCTTCGGCAACACACGCACGCGTTTTTTATTTCTTCAAACCCTTTGACAGATATCTATTTAGTAATTGTAGTAGTGGTAAGTCACATCAAGACACATGATGTATACAGTCCTTTTTGAAGAACCTTTGTAGCTGACCGGCCGGCTTCAATGGACTTCAACCAGTGCCACAATCCTAAACAAAAAATTTTTTTTCATTTTTTTTT